AGCACATGATTTATTCCAACCTCAATGAAGCCCCAACACTCTAGAAAAGTCCTGCATTGTCTCCCAGCATCCCTCACTGGCTATCCCAAAGCCTCCCCTTTCATCTCAATCCTGAACTCTGCCTCTTCTTTCTTCACTCTTAGAAGAAGACAAGTTTTGCACCAGCAAAACAAAGGCCATCTGATGAGAACCCCGTCAACTTCCTGCACTTCAAACTCTAAACTTCTCTCCATCTGCACCCACTCATCCCTCCATGCCTCTTTTTCTACAGGGACAGACAGCTCGATTTACCTGTTGTGGTACACAGAAGAATGACCCCAAAAGCTCTCCTTGTCTGAATGCCCAGATCTGTAGAATGTGTTACTTTACATTGAGAAAGAGATTTTGCACATATGATTAAGTTAACATTTTTGAGAAAGGAAGATTAACCTGGATTATCCAGGTGGCACCAAAGTCATCATATGATTCCTTCTAAGAGGAAGGCAGGTGTGTCAGAATCAAAGGAGATGTAACAAAAGATGCAGCAGTCAGAGTTAGAGAGATTTGAAAATGCTGTATACTGCTGGCTTTCAACATGGAGGAATGCGCCACACACCAAGAAACACAGGGAGGGCTGGAGGGCTTTGGTGGTGCTGTGGTTAAAGCATCAGGCTGCTCACCAAAAGGCTGGCTGTTCAAACTTCCCAGCCACTCCACAGGAGAAAGATGAGGCAGTATGCTACTGTAAAGATTTGTGGTGTGTTGTCAGGTGCCGTCAAGTTGGTTTCGACTCACAGCAATCCTATGTACGAGAAAACAAAACACTGCCTGGTCTCTGCCACCCTCATGATTGGTGCTATGTTTGAGCCCGTGGTGGCAGCCACTGTGGTGATCACTGTAGGTCTTCTTCTTTTTCTCTTACCCTCTTCTTTACCAAGTGTACGTGCTGCCCCAGGGACTGGTCCCTCCTGATAACATGTCCGAAGTCCATGAGATGAAGTCTCCCCATCCTCACTTCGAAGGAGCCTATTGGCTGCACTTCCTTCAAGACAGATTTGCTCATTCTTCTGGCAGTCCATGATATAGTCAATGAAGTCTACTAGCTCTCTGACTCTACAAGGTCTACCTGGTGAGCTTCCCAATGGCCACCAGGCCTGTGTCACCTGACAATGGCTCTCTTTGGCTGTATTCCTCCAAGAAAGTATGACTGGAGGGAGAGGGTGAGTTAGAATGATTCTCAGGATTCTCAAACCTAGCCCCTTTGCACTCTCTTTTGCCATGACTTTCACTGAGGTATCACTATTGCCCATCTTAACCGTTGCAATCTTCTGCTAACTGGTGCATCTGCTTCCCATCTGCCCCATCTTCCTTCCATGGGCCAAGCGGAGACCACATCTGCCTTGACTTCTTCATTGTTCCTCAGTGCTCCCATGCTCAAGTCCACTATATGGCACCTCACTGAGGTAATAGTTTCACTTCATCAGCAGCTGCTCCACACGCACCTCTAGGACTTGCATACATTCTGCTTCACTCAATATTACTCAATGATGACACCACTGACATTTTGGGTGGCATAATTATTCATTGTGCAGGACTATCCAATGTGTTCCAATAGGTGTAGCATACCTGGTTCCTGCCAACTGAGTGCCTGTAGTATTGCATCCTCACTCATTGTGACAACTCAGCTATGCCCCTGGATATTTCCAAACACCCATGATGCCCTTTCCCAACTGGTTAGCTCCAACTGTCCTTCATCATTCAGCTCCAGGATTGAGCTGAACTATATGAAATTGTCCTTTTCATAAGCCCAAAGACCAAACATTGGCTATTTCATTTCACATAAGCTTTAACCTATAGTCTTTCCTTCTACAAGCCTTTGCTAAAGATGTCCTATAGCACTCTGTGACTTTCTGTCAAAGTGCTCACCATGTGTTGTAAGAGTTGGTTAACTTATTGGCCCCTCCCTCTCACAACATTGCTCAGCCCTAGTTATCCGGGAACAAGAACTGTCTTAAATCCTTCTGTCTCTCTAGCACTTGGCAAGGTGCCTGGCACCTAATAGGCACTAAACCTATGTTTAATGAATAAACATCAGGATATTGAGCCACTTTCCCTGATGACTCAGTGTTATTCCTGAGCGTAGAGATGTTTTCAGGGCCAACGGACACTTAACAGCTTCTTAGCTTAACATGAAGTGACTCACCACTGCCCAGCCTGATGGCTTTGCGCATCTGGGTTTTATGTTGTATCATCAGCATGTTTTTTCCCATTGCTCTTTGTCACCCTCTGGATGTAAGGCCAACTTCCCAGAGTGCGTTGTCAAGGCATCCCATGAACTTTGGTGCACAGCGAGACAAGAAACTGCTTCGGTTCAGGGTCCTTTTCATCTTATTCTGCGGTTCTTGCTAAATTCCACATGTTTGAAGTCTCCCCTTTAGTTAGTGAGACAGTTTCTAAAACAACTTTGAATAGTCATTTTCTTTCTGGAAACTCAAAGATGATGACTCAGGAAGACTTTAAAGTGGAGAAATGTTCCTATGATGAGATTATCATTGGTAAGCTCTTGGCTGGTAAAAGATCAATGAACTAAATGTCTCAAGATACTTTCTAAATATAAATGTTGTGTCTGTATAGTCACAAAGTATATGGGCACTTATTTTTTTTTTTTTAATTTGGGTGAAAATTTACAGAGCAAATTGGTTTTCTATTCAACAATTCATGCACATTGTTTTGTGGCATTGATTGCAATCCCCACAATATAACAGCAGTCTTCCCAACCCGTGTAATTTCCATTGGTCCTTCTTCCCTACCCCTTTCTGCCTTCTGAACTTTCTCCCTGGGTAAATACTGCCCTTTTGATCTCATACGGCTGGTTGTTCTCATGAGTACAACCTCCCTGGTGTTCTTGTTCACCTTGTTGGCTTGTTTATTGTTTGACTACAAGTTCAACCTCAAGGGTGAGTTCAGTTTTAGGCTTGAAAGGTGACTAAAAGTCATAGACTTGGGAGTTCCACCCATCTCTATCCGTAAGCCTAGAGTTTTTTTATGATCTTGAGTTTTATTCCACATTTTTTTCTTACTCTATCTAGGCCCTCTTATTGTGATCCCTTGTAGAGCAGTCCATAGCGGAAGCTAGGCCCCATCTAGTTGTTCTGGTCTGAGACTCATGGAGGCTGAGGTCTGTGTGATTCCTTTGTCCTTTGGACTAATTCCTTCTATGGGCGCATGTTTTTAATAAAAATACATTTACAGCACTGGATTATGGATCTCAGGTACATGAGCTTTCTAATTTTTGGTTTAGGTGACTTTGAGTCAAAAAGCTCTACCATTATAATTCCTATGAAGAAATCTAGGACCATGAGGGACAGAGATAAAAGGAGCATCCCAGTGAGAAATAAAGGGGGAATACAATTTTTCAGAGAGTGTTTACATTTAATATGTCTTTACATGTTTTTTAAATAAATGTCACTCAAAATCAACAATTTTTGGTTCTTTCACTTTCAATATTTATTTGTTTATCATCATTATTCTTTTTTAAAAGGCAATTACAACAACTTAGGAGATAAAACAATACAAATACAGGGTTTAAAATAGTTTGTTTAAAAAATAATAGCTTGCTTCTTATAAGAAAGCCCATATCATTTCATTTCCACCCCCCATGTCATTTTATACTTTGTGCTAAACCAGATAGCTTATAGAAAAAATTTAGTATTAAATAGTTAAATACAGAAAACCTAACATCTATAAATAACATAAAATAGAGTTGGAATTTAATGATGCTTAACAAAGCCAACCTGACAGGCACTATATAAGAAAGCCCATATCATTTCATTTCCCCAAATATAATTTTATACCTTGTGCAAAACCAAATAGCTTATAGAAAAAGTTTAGTATTAAATAGTTAAACATAAAATGCCTACATCTAAAATAACATAAAATAAAGTTGGACTTTAATGTGATGCTTAACAAAGCAAACCTAACAGGTACTAAACCCACGATGCAATATGAATCAACTTCATTAATTGGACAAGTCCAATGATAAACCCTCAGCAATGTGCAATGGAAGACGCCAGTCCCAGTATGGTTCTTCTTGTCCTTGGGCTGTGTCCAATTCCAGTCAAAAAGAGCATCCATCTTTACATCTTCCTGACTCGCATGCTGTAAAGGAAAGAGGAAGATGAAAATAGCAAGATGTGGTGATGGTACCCACAGGTGCCTTCTATGCCTTTAACCTCATCTCAGGACACCAAGCAGCTCAGAGGGCATCCAGATGAGGAAATGGAAGCTGGGGGAATGTAGGCTTTGCCAACATAATTGAGCTAATGAATGATGGAAACAGGATATAGACACTCATCTTGTATCTCTAAGCTCAGCGTCTGTGACCCACTGGCATTAAGTGGCAACATTACTATCTAGTACTATCACTGTAATTAAGAATCATTGCTCTCTTCTTACCTAATGACTACTTTTCCATTTTTAACAAATAACCATATGTCGGTCTGTAAATCACGTAAGAAGGCATCTTAGCAACAAAAATCAACCAGTTAGCGCTGGAAAATGCATACCAAAAACACCAGACTGGTTGCTGTGGCGACACCTCCGACTCATGGCAACCTGAGTGTTACACAAATAGCACTGCGCTCCATCATAGAACCTTTCAGAAGTGGGTTGCCAGCCCGTTCTTTCACAGTGCCTCTGGATGGGTTGGAACTGCCAAGCTTTCAAACAATAGTCAAGCAATTAACAGCTTGCACTGCCCAATGGTACATGTCAAATGCACAGAGAAATTGAATATATCATGTGAAAAATCACTAAATTTAAATACACAGAGAGAGAGCGAGAGAGAGACATGGGAAAAAAAAGTATTCTTTATTTTCATGATCCAACTCAAATTTCCCCTTAAAAATTCCACAGTGCTTAGATTGAAGAAGCCCAATGAGCCTATGGTCAACCCTGTTGCACACTCCCCTGGCCCCAGATACTTAGAGAAAAGCTCGTCACTGGCCATGAACGCTCCATACCTCAGGATGTGCACGGCTTGCTTCACCCACAGCTTCTTGGGATTTGCACACACAGCCAATTGTTTCTTCGTGTGAAAGCTGGAAAAAGCCAGAAGACATGATTTGTACTCCAAAAGCTCTTAAATGGACTATTGTTTTTCCACAGAACGTGGAATGGAAGCTTCATATTCCCATTAATTTCTCAACACACTTTTAACATTTCAATTAAAGAGGTGATCAATATGTAAAAAAAATAAATAAATAAAATAGGGCTTGATGCAGGAAATGACAGTGGTTCTCCCAGACTTTTTTTTTCCCCTGCATTTTAATAAATTGTAACAAAATGATGGGGCTAGTGTTTCAGATGGTTACTGTGGTTGTCTACCCTTATGATTTTATTTCCTTTTGCTGCTGCTGCTGCTTACATGAAATATTCATGTATCTGACTAGTAATTTATATTTAAAAAAATGTATAAATCAAGAATATTACAGATGACCCTGAAAATTAGTCTGAGATTTTATTTTCACCCCAACCATTTTCTGGCAAAAAAAAAGAGCTTATTTTGAAATTCACATCTCAAAATATTTTTATTTCCATGTTTTCCTAGGGAGCTCTGGTGGCCTAGTGCCTAAGGCTTAGTGACTACTAACCAGAAGGCTGGTGGTTCAAACCCACCAACCACTCCTCAGAAAGAAGATTGGGTAATCTACTTCGGTAGTGATACCACCTCAGAAACCCAAGGAGAAGTCTCTATGAGTCAGACTCAACTCGTTGGCAGTGAGTTTGGTTTTTGGTTTTACATTTTCCTGAGATAACATAAGAGTAGCCTCTAGTTTCATCTTAGAAAGTGATTTTGCCCTATACTACGTTAATATTTTCACTATGTTTTCGTGTTAATTCCCATCTATTTAAAATAAACTTTGGTGGGTCTGATGGAGCCTGGTGGAACCACTGAGAACTTGGCCCCTAGCTGCTCTTTGAGTCCAGGGTTGAGCCCACACCTGTGGCTTCCAGCCAGACAGGGGATGGGCATATGAGTTGGACATTTGCCTGAGGTGGATGCACTCCTTGTGGGGAGCAATCATGGGAGAAGGAAGGGCTGTTTGTGCGCGGGGAGACAGCTCAGGGGACAGGAGTGCATGGAGGAATGGATACCGGGAGAAAGTGGCTATCGGGGAAAGTGGGAGAGGAGCTGTTGCATTGTGGTAAATTGTGGTTGGTGTCAGGAGACGGGGTATGTGTGGACTAATGTATGGAGGGTGAATATGCTCTGTAAATTTTCACCCAAATCACAAAATACATAAATAAATAAATAAACTTTGAAGGAGATATGTCCTATGAAAGCAAGTATCACCACTGCTTCAGTTATTTCTGAGTGAAACCCCAAAAGGCCACTTTTTTAAAAGCTAGAATGCCCATGTGCTCCTGATACCATTGAATTAAAGTTAAGTAGTAACTTACATGACAGCGTCGATGTCGCAAGCTTCATTGGCCAGTTGCTGCGTGAAGCCTACGATAAATTTGGGATGAATGACGTGTTGTGTGTATCGGAGACAACAGTCAAAGCTGCTTGCTGCTAAAAGAGAAACGAGAGGCACTGAGTCCACAGAAATCAACACATTCTGCAACAGGGTCTAGTCAACTCCACGGCGGTGGGTGGGTGACAGGCATTATGAGACTACAAGAAATTGTGAAAAATCCAGTGAATTTGATTAATATGATGATTAAATTGGTCACTGGAAGAGTTTCAAGATCTTTGAAACCTGTATGTTTTTCAAGAGATCTGAGTTAACGTAGTTTCCAATGAAATTATTTGTGTACTGGGAAATTTTGTTTCAATCATACAATTTAGAAACACATGACTTCTTATAAGCAGAATACCTTTAGTAAAAAACAAATTGACAGTGTTTTACTTCAGTTCACTACAATTACTCAAGAATATGAGTGACCCCCACTTTAAGTAACCCTAGTATGTAACTTCCAAATTCAGAAACTAAACACATTGGGCATTCTCAATCTATTATCTAGTCTCAGAATTGGGAGCTGGGGAAGGACAGGAAGCAACAAGGAAAATGAGACTCATAGGTGCTACCATTGACTAAAGCACTTTGAAATTGTAATGTCAGTTAATAGGAATTTTTAAAATTTTGTTCATAAAAGTCCAACATGCAGATTTTCTGAAATGTGCCTATGGTGAACAGTCACGTAATGTTGCGCTCATAAAAGTGATACGTGGACACTCCCCCAAGTTCAATTACAACCTGCTCTAAAGTAAGGGCTAAACGTTATCTCAAAGCTGGCAAGCGATGTCCCAAAGCCTGGCAGGGGATGTCATGTACCATAACCTGTCCCACTACGGATGACTTTGGAACTTTATGAAAGCAATTTAGTGGAGATGTGAGGATGTTGGGGAAGTGGCGTGTTCTCTCCGTTTCAGAATGAACACCATGACTGGTACTTTCACCCTGCTTGTAGCACTCCCAGGAATAACACTATTTCCTGAAGCTCAGGACAAAGAGCCCACCATCCCCAGAATCTGCTGGGATGACAGCAGAGGGAGAAGCTGTACCCCTTTCCTCCTACAACAGTTAGCTTGAGCTGGCACCTCCTATCACTCTCTTCCACAGATGTCCTCATCAACATCCATCCCTTAGAGACCCCCAGATGACCTCCAGGCTTTGAGGAAAATGAACACTGTCCCGTCCCAGATCAGAAAGAGTGGCATGCACTTACCTTCTGACCTACTACTGATCTGGAGCAACAGCAACGCTGTCAAAGCAGCCAGGAGCAGACACTTGCCACTGCACGTCATGTTGAGCTCCAAGACTCACCTGCCTAGTGCTGGTACCCAGTGCCGGTGGTACCCAGGGCTAGGAGTGCTGTTATGTCCCAAGAGCAGCAAGGATGGCCCTACTTATAGCACATATTGGGAATGTACACAAGAGGCGTGTTCTCACATGGGGTTTTCCCCATTCATCAACCTGCCACATCATGTCGTCACAAAGAAAAACACACTGGGAAAACTTCTTGCCTTTCCCTCACTTGGGAAAGTGGGAAGGTTGGAGAGGGTCAAGAAAGGGAGGGGACAATCCTGTTAAATCCATTAGTTTGCAAAGAAGGAAAAGCATGTCAGCCCTGTGGCCCAGAAGAAAACTTCCGTCCAGTTTTAACTTAATCTCTTTTGCCTCTGAAAACGGAGGACAAGGATTAGCCATGATACAAAGGTCAGCCCCACACAGGAACATTCCCGCACTCCTACTGTTACACACTATATTTGCTTTCCAGAGCCAGTCAGGGAAGGGGAGGATGAGGCATGCATTGACAATTGCATAGTTGAGGCTCATTTGTCGCTTAAGGACCCTGAATTGCTACACAAGGAGTTCTGTTAATAAGGTTCAAAACTCATCCATTGTGGGGCAGCTAGGGTAACAATGCCACCTTAGTGTCTTCAATTAAGGTGGAAAACACCAGCCTTTAGGTAAGACCCCAGCCTCAGCTTCATCTTAATTTGGTGTCAACTGTCCTAAAGTCTTATAAAGTGATATGGCTGTAATCACTATTGCAGCCCAGGAAATAATGCCCACCCCCCTTTAGCTCTTTATGTTGACATAGTTATATAATTCAATGCAGAGCTTGTGGAGGGGGGAGAAGAAAGCATATCAACAGGGTTAATCAGCAACACAAACCTCAACAGTGATAATGATAATAATTGAATATGAATCCCACAGGGAAGGTGGTGTAATAAGAATTTCTAAATAGATACCAATAGGTTGGAAGTAAAAGGATGAAAAATACATACCATGCAAACAGGAAACCAGAGAGAACTGGAGTTGCTCTACCAACAGCAAACAAAACAGATTTTAAAATATTACTAGAATGATATTACTAGAGAGAAAGAAACTATCCTAATGATGAAAAGGTCAATCCATCAGAAAGATAGAAATATTATTACCACACATACACATAACAACAACACCCTCAAAATGCATGAAAAAAAACTGACAAAACTGAAGGAGGATTAGACAGTCCACACATTGGACACTTCGATAATGAATAGAATAACTAGACAGAAGATCCACAAGAAAATGGGGAACTTAACACTATTAACCAACCATACCTAACAGATTTCTCCAAAACACTTCATCCAACAACAGAACAAGATTCTTCTCAAGCACAAATGGAACATTTTCCAGGATAAACCATATACTAGGACATAAAACAAATCTCATTCAAGTTAAAAGATCTGAAGTCATACAAAGTATGCTTTCCAACAAATTAAAATTTACTTAGAAATCAATAACAAAAGGAAATTTGGGAAATAAAGAAATTGTGGAAAATAAACAACAAATTCCTAAATAACCAATGGCTCAAAGATGAAATCACAGGGACATTAGAAAATCCTTTGAGATGAATAAAAACTGAAACACAACCCACCAAACCGTATGGTGCTCAGAAGGAAATTCATAGCACTAAACACCTACATTTAAAAAGATCTCAAATCAATAACTTAACTTTCCAATTTAAGGGACTGGAAAAAGAAGAGAAAACTAAGCCTAAATCTAGCAGAAGGAAGGCGGTAATAATTATTACAATGGAAACAAGTAAAATAGAGAATAGGAAACAATAGGGAAAATCAATAAAACCAGATGTTGGTTCCTTGAAAAGATCAACAAAACTGACAAACTTTAGTTAAGGAGAGCCCTGGTTAGCAGTCAAATGCCTTAGGCATTGTACCACCAGAGCTCTTAGCTAAGGAAAACGGAGAAAATGCTCCAACTTTAAAAATTAGAAATGACAGTAGTGGGGACATTACAACATTATAGAAAGAAAAAGGATTGTGAAAGAATATTGTGAATAAATGTCTGCCAATAAAAGTGCTCCTGAAGTAGTTAAGAGCAAAGAGGCCACTTTGAAGACGAAGATACACCTGCTTCAAGCCATGGTATTTTCAAGAGCATCAGATGCTTGGGAAAGCTAGACAACGAGTAAGGAAGACTGCAAAAGAATGGAAGCATTTGAATTGTGATGTTGAGAAAAAATACTGAAAACACCACGGACTACCAGAAGAATGAACAAATCTTAAGAGAATTACAGCCAGGATACTCCTTAAAAGACTTTGTCTCACCCACTTTGGTCACTTTCTCAGAAGGGACCAGTCCCTGGAGAAGGTTATCATGTTTGGCAAAGTAGAGCAACAGCAACAAGGGGAAGACAGTGAACTGGATGGACACAGTTGCTGCACGACAGGTTGAAGCAAAGCAGAGATTGTGAGGGTGTAGCACCAGACAGGGTTTCGTTCTGTTGTACATAGAGTGTCACTGTGAATCGAAACCTAGTCCATGACACCTAACAACAACAACAACAAAATCTAGCAAATTATATACCCTAGATGAAATGAGCAAATTCTTAGAAACACAAAAACAACCAAAACTGACTTAAGAAGAAATAGAAAATCTCAACAGACCTGTAACAAGCACAAAAGGCCATATTCTCACGGGTAGATCACCGAATAGCAAGGTAAGCATGGGGCTGACTTGTACTTGCTTACTAATCTATAGTGAACACTCTCACATGAATTTCACACAGGCTTACCTTGCTTATGGGGTGATGTGCCTATACAGTACCACTGAAACATTCAGCATTGTTAAATCCACTGAGACAGAAAGTAGAATAGTGATTGCATAGGCCTGGGCTAGGGTACTGGGAGAATAGGTGGGTAAGCAATGGGAGCGATTCCTAATGGATGTGTGTTTTCTTTTACCAAAAAACCAAACTCACTGCCATTAAGTCAATTCCAACTCACAGTGACATTGGGTTTCCAGGGCTATAAATGTGTGTGGAAGCAGACTGCCTCATCTTTCTTCCATAGAAGGACTGGTGTGTTCGAACCACCAACTCTTTGGTTAGTAGCCAAATGCCTTAACCACTACACCACCAGAGCTCCTTAGTTTCTTTTAAGAAAGATAAAAAGTTATAAATATAGATAATGGTGATGGTTGCACACCTTTGTGGATATACTAAAACACATTGAATGGTGCACTTTAAATTAATGAATTGTATGGTTTGTGAATTATATGTCAATAGAAATAGCAACTCAACAACAACAACAAAAACATTCCCCATCTACCTTCCTCTTACACCACCCCCAGAGCTCAGACCCTCTTTCTTTCTCTGTTTCTACCCTTGGCCACCTGCCATCTGTGTTCATTTTTCCTTCTTGCTCCATTCCTGTCTTCTTTGGTTTTCCTGGCTCACTTGCAATTCATCTCTTCTTCTCTTCTCTTAATCATATCTTTCCCTTCTTCCTCCTTTAATAGCTGTGAAACAGAGTTGATATTTTGTTGTTTTTTATATTGATGGAAATTGTACTTTCCTATGTTTGGCTTGATAGGTGGGTTATTTCATATCTGTCACTGTAAAAATGTGACCCTCAATTGATTTCTGGTTTTTTTTTTTTTTTTTTGGAGAGGGAGTCAGTCAATAAACGTGCTGCTAAGAAGCAGATTAATATATGTAAATTATTTCAAGCCCTATTTATTAATTATTAATTATTGTACTGAGATTTATTTTCTATTTTCTAGCTGTTCTTTTCCGATATCTCAGACATATTCCTGCTGTTGTATGCCATAAGGCTGATTCTCACTCCTAGTGGCCCCTACAGGACAGCTAAGATTTAAATAGGAAATCCTGTGGGTTTGCTAGACTGTGAATATTTAGGGAAACAGATTGACAGGTCCTTTCTCCCACAGAGCAGTTGGTGGGGCTCGATCTTTCAAGCCCTTACTGTTATGTCATCAGGGCTCCTCAATACATCCCTAATGAGTCCTAAGTCCTGCATGTCATAACTTCTCAATTTCATATTTTTCTTTTTGTGGAAACTATTTCTCAAGTGTCTTCCTACGTGGAAGGTTGTTATTAAGTGCCATGGAGCCGGCTCCAGCTCACATGACCCTGTGGACAACAGAAGGAAACACTGCCTAGTCCTGCCCCAGCCTCACAACCTTTGCTGGGCCTGAGCCCATCATTGCAGCCACTGTGTCAGTCCATCTTGCTGAGGGCCTTCCCCTTCTTCACCGACCCTCCACTTGACCAACATGACATCCTTTTCCAGGGAAAAGTCCCTTCTGACAACATGACCAAAGTAGGTGAGATGAAGTCTGACCATTCTCGCTTCTAAGGAGCCCTCCAGCTGTGCATCATCCAAGACAGATCTGTTCATTCTTTTGCATCTGTGGTATTTTCAGTATTTTTTGCCGACAGCACAATTCAAAGGAACCGATTTTTTTTCAGTCTTCCTTATTCATTGTCTAACTCTCACATGCATGTGAAAAGACTGAAAAGCTCATGGCTTGGGGCAGGCGCACTTTAATCTTCAAAGCGACAGGCAGCTTTGCTCTTCAACACTTTAAAGAGGTCTTTTGCAGCACATTTACTCAGTGCAATATATCGTCTGATTTCTTAACTGCTATTTTCATGAGCGTTGATTGTGGATCCAGGTAAAATAAAATACCTGACAACTTCAGTCCTTTCTCCATTTATTGTGACGTTGCTTATTGGTCCAGTTGTAAGGATTTTTGTTTCCTTTATGTTGAGATATAATCCATACTGAAGGATGTAATCTTTGATCTCTATCAGTAAGTGTTTCAAGTTTTCTTCACTTTCAGCAAGCAAGGTTGTATCATCTGCATATTGGCGTCTTCCTCCAATCCGAACGGGGTGTTCTTCTTCATATAGTCCAGCTTCTCGGATTATTTGCTCAGCATACCTATTGACCAAGTATGGTGAAAGGATACAACCTTGACACACACCTTT